ATTGCATTCCCTGTCCATGTAAAATGCATTATAATGTGGATCTGTCCTTATCATTGTCTTGGGAAGATGTCATCGCTCTGAAGTCATCGGTCACTATGATCTGCAGTGTTCTCCCTCGCTGGTGGACATGTGTGTGCAGAATACCAACGCAGCAGCTGATAATGAGAGGCTGCAGACACAGAGGAAGTCACCTGTGAATTATTAATGAGTAGGGTCTTCTGACACTGGATCAAACTTGTCATAAAACTCATTATTAAGCTAGATGAGACTCGTGAGGGAACATTTACCTGGCAGTTTAGCTATTATGGTTTCTTAATGAGTTAGTATTATTCACTTCATAACCTGCTTGTCATGTGTTCCGCATGCAAGCAGACTTTTTATTCTATTGTGGACTGGAAGTGCACTAAAACCACTCATAAATGTCTAATCTTTGTGGTGGACTAATGAATTGTTGGGACATTCATGATATTTTTAAAGGGATATGCCTCTGGGCTGGATATGCGCATTACCCCACCAATGTTTAAATGTTTAGTATCACAATATTGGGGACTCGTAAGTTGAACTTGAGTCGCTATTTTAGAGACTTGCGGCTCTACTCGTATTCGTCCCCTCAAGACTCGGATTTGACTTGGACTCGTGGTTTTGCGCCTTGTGATAAATCCAATATAACAAGGCATGTGGGTCAAGAGCATGGATGCAACTTTCTGTCTTGGTATTCACGACCGTCCCTACATTTCATCCACAACAAAGATTAGACATTCATTTAACAAAGTCTGTATTTCTTTGTCAGGCTTAATGACCAATGGTTTTAGTGCACTTCCAGTCCACAATAAAATACAAAGACTGACTGTATGCCCTAACACATGCTAAGCAGGTTTTGAAGGGAATAATAGTAACTCATTAAGAAACTGTTGTGGACTTTCTGCACAGACCGAGAGCAAAAATAATGTGAACAACCAAGAGCTGTAATACAATCAAAGTGTGGGTTTATTCATCAGTAACTGGGCAGATATACAATGAAAAACAGAACCGATACCGCTATTAATCTGAATTAACCACTAGCAATCTGAATTAACTATTTGATGTCAATTCAGACTGCTTTACTAAAAGATTTCAGTTTGTATTCAATCTGCAAATGGGAAAAAAGTCTGCAAAATATTTGAAGAGGAAAAAATCCGATTCTGTGAGGTATCATTATCAAAAGACATGTTTGCTTTTGTCTTCCTCTTGACCTATTTGACTGCCCCACTTCTACCATTGAACATGTTGCAATGGCACTCTTCGATTCGTGTGCCCTGCATTTGGCGCTTTGTGAACATTGTTTTTGAAAAGTGCTGTACAAATAAAGATTTATTATTATTTATTTTCTTTTCGTTTGAAGAGTTTTGTTTGGTTCTAAAAAGGAGGGCAGTGAGTTAGAATTGTATTTTTATCCAAACAAGATGACACACTCCTTCACTTGTTTTCTTCTAGTCTCCCACACACATTTCAGGGGGTCGCTCTGTCCCGCAGGTAGAATGACAAACTCCTTATTTCGCATCCATTGATCTCCATTATTTATTTGATCTACAATAACATGTTGCCATAACACAAGGACTCCCAAAGCAGTCATTTCGACGGCTCCCATTAAAATCAATAGAATTCTTAAATGTTATACTTTTATTAAAATAAAGCAATCTATACAGTTGTTATGTTTGATATGTACTAAAAATGGTTACTATAACCTGAAATACAGATAAAACAGTTTTCTGAAACTAATGCTAACTGCTATTAATAAACAGTTTGACACTACAAGAACGGCACTTGCTCCAAGCTGACTTTTCACCAGGAGAAAAGTTGCTTTAAGGTTGGTTGCCAAGCGACTAAGCAACCAAAAATGGCTACAATAGAATTTTACATACAAATACAAGGAGCAGTCATAATGACTGCCCTGGGCGTTTAAGGTAGTACTCACATTTTCAAAAATTAAATTCATAAAAATAATAAACTACATATAGATACAGAAGAAGTCACACAATTATGAAGACCAACAAAGTACATGAGTGAAGGTGAAGATTATTCTTTGAGGAAATAATGAATTTTACCTGAGCATGCTGTATGAAAAATATAAGTTTGAAATAAATACATATACTTAAAATAAAGATTATATGAATAAATCACCTCTACTTCTTTTGAGAAAAATCCAGGGGCACATGCACATACATCATGACAATATAGAAAAAGAAAGTGAAGTGTTTTGCTTTCCTGGTGCCACTTCCAGTTTTCTCTGATTGGTTATTTTGCTGTCCAATCAAATGTGAGCAAACCCAGGTCCGGGGCTGAGATCCAGACTTCATTAATACATAATTAATAATAATGATTGTAAAATGGTGTGATTCGAGCTGGTCAGGCGGTGTTTCCTCCTGGTTTGTTGGAGAGGTTGGCTGTAGCTCAGTGTTGTGTAAAGCTGTGACTGGGGCAGGCAGCTGTCTATGCTGCTGTTCATTCATCTGCTCCGTCTCTTCTGACTCCAACAGCCTCTTGGAAGATGTCCCAGAATCCTCCATCTTTACACTCATATGTGATTATTCCTTTTCCCATTTTTCTCCAGTTCCTGTTTGATACATTTTATTTCATCGAAGGACAGGGCCACCTCTGGACATATCAGGCTTGCCAATTAGTTTTCTACTGCCACTATTGCCATTATTGCTGCCCCTACTTAAATGTTTCAGATAATCGAACCTGGAACAACTATTTTTATTAACTGCAATCAAAACAGACGTGTCAAATAAAGAAATTAAATGAAATTCAGAACATTTCAATTGACATTTAACATAATATGAAACGTTACAAATTGTATTTAATTCAAATTTGTTTTGTTTCAATGTATTTATGTATAGCCCGAAATCATTACAGCAGTTGTTTCAGAGGACTTTTCAAAGTTAGCGAGTCCTCAACAACAGAACAGAGAATCAAACAGTTCAAACACACAAAATGCTTCTTTCTCCGCAGAGGGCGGCACAGTGGCAGAGTGGTTGGGACTCTTGCGTCTCTGCATCAAGGTCTTGGTTAGAAATCTGGCATTGCGAATTTGGTCAGGATAGAAAACCCTTCACTAGAAACAATATAAAACACAAAGATAGCCAGAATAATCAGATTTGAACATGTGTATTGTTATTATAATGGCACACATGTTTTCTATATGCATTGTATTGTTGTATTCTCGGCGGCACGGTGTATTGGGGCGGTATTGTTGTATTGGGGCGGCACGGTGGCTGAGTGGATAGCACTCCCGCCTCTCAGCAAGAAGGTCCTGGGTTCGAATCCCGGTCGGACCAGGGCCTTTCTGAGTGGAGTTTGCATGTTCTCCCCGTGTCTGCGTAGGTTTCCTCCGGGTACTCCGGTTTCCCCTACCACTAAAAATATGTCCAATAGTTCTGGCATGCGCCTCCTGTACTGGCGACCTTGCTCCCATCTCTGTGTGGAGTGAGACAAGTGCCCAAAAATTAACAATTGTAAACCGCTTTGAGACTCAGATCTGCAGTGAAAAGGCGGTATATAAATAAAAACTTACTAACTTACTTACTTACTATTGGCGCTAACCCAAAAGCGACTTCTTCTCTCCGCAGCTGGAATTCACCTTCAAACACTGTCAGGTGGAAGTGCTCCTGCCATGCTCGCTATATTTAGTCCGCCTGCCAAGTGCCAAACTACATTTACTCTTTACGCTTTCCTCTGCCGTCTAAATCTTGTGCAAAGATATTTTCTGAAGCGCACATGTCATTTTGTTACTTTGTGATTTTCTGCTCTTCAGCTGCCGAGTGCCTCCGCGCATCTCTGCTTCAGTGTCAGTTCAAATTAGGAAGACGCCACACAAACATACAACATAAGTTTGCTTTGTGGTTACGTGTCAAGAATGTCTCTCAAAAAAGTATGATTACAAAGTTTCTCCAACATCACTTGTCAGGGTTATATTCGTACCTTAGCCAAGTAGGGTATGTTTGGTCTGTTTGTATCATCGAGAAGTGAGTTACAGCAACAGGTGTAGGGATCGGAACAGGGATGAACACATGTGGTCTTATGTCTTTTTGATACCAAGCAGGCAAACATGTTTCAGAATGGCCAGAATAATGGTACAGAAACTGATTTGCTTCAATGGGTTTCGAAATATGGTCAGATAAAACCATGTGCAGATTCTGTCCACAAGAACTGAGTGGATGGACTTGGAACTGCAGTGTCATTTTTTAATTAAGTAACTCTCTGGTCAGTGATAACTGTTAATGGGCCTGTAGATGTCTGTGGTTCATTTAACAAAGTGCAAGAGTGATGATCTCACACAGTTTAGTGAATTCTGTATATTTTTTGGCACACTACCTCAGACCTGTTTCCAGCAGTCCAACAAACTATTATCATACTCCGGATAGTAGGGGTGGGTGGTAAAAAAAAAAGAGCGTTATTAATAAGCTAGTGTCAATGACTGGAGAGAATTAATTTCACTTCCTGATGAGATAAGATGTACTTTATTAATCTCACACAGGAGAAATTTACATGTCATGATTTATATGATACAGACCGTGCCATTGGTTGAACTATTCTCCAGAAAATCTGATTGATGTTCACGGCAAGGAGAGAGATGGTATTTGACAGTGTTTTTTAGAAATATTCACCTTACATTAAACTACATGGTCGTGTGGTCTAAAGCATGCCTTCTTTTGAAAAATGATATACAGTTGAAGTTATTGACATCGACTTTAAAAAACTGGCACCATGAGGGAGTTCTTGGATGCAGCCACCAATGGCGGACGTGTCTCTGTGAGCTCCGTTATACCCAAGCGGATTTGACCTTGCAATACACCTTTTTTTTTGCTCCTGTATGGCACCAGTCTCGTGTGAGCTCACATATGAAACCGTCTGGGTCATCTGACTGCACTCCGGTAATTAAGCAACGTCTCCTGGCGAACAAATTTAACTCCGTGTTAAACGTGCTAACTAACGCTAGCCAACCACAAGCTAGCCGCAAGATGGCAGGGGAAGAAGAAAAGCCAACTCTGAAGTCGGCCATGAAGGCTATACGTGACTCACACAATGAGCTCTCAGCTAAGATTGACAGGAATCGAACTGACCTACAACAATCCCTGGCGAAAATTGAACAAGCTCAAACCACGCTTTTTGAGCAAGTGCAGGAAATGGAGACCCGCGTTGGAGCTAACGAGGACAACATGGTGGACGCTGTGACCCGTATCACCACAATGGATAACGAAATCAAACTCCTGAAAGTAAAGGCTGATGACTTGGAAAATAGGAGTAGGAGGTCAAATATTAAGATTATCAATGTCCCAGAAAGAGCGGAAGGCAACGACACGGCCGCCTTCGTGGAGCGCCTTATCCCTAGGCTGTTTGGGGAAGGACATTTCACAAGTCCGGTCGTAATTGAGCAAGCGCACCGCCTGGGTAGACCCGCGGACCGGACAAGACCCATCATATAGTAGCAAAATTTCTCAACTACAGGCAAAGAGAGATGGTGCTCCGCTTGGCCAGAGAAAAGCACCCTCTGCTTCTAGACGACAACCGCATCTCATTCTACCCGGACTACAGCGCTGAGACCCAACGCAACATGCTCGCATACAACGAGGTGAAGAAGAAACTACGGGATAAAAACATCGAGTACGCGAGCCGCTATCCTGCAAAGCTGAGAGTGCGCCACGAAGGGGCATTCAAGCTTTTCTCATCACCCGCGGAGGTGGAAAACTTTCTCCGCACTTTGGAAGATTAATATCATCTGAACTAGACACAATTAGCGTTATTACCCCGAACACAGGTACAGACTGTATTTTCCATGTGTGTTGACACGTTCAAGATTGTCATAGATGTTTAGCAGTATTGATATACAAAGAAGCTCATACCTGGTATAATATCTGGTAGCGAAGGAGCATAAAAAATCAGCTAATACCAATGACTCCCGCTTGGGCAGCAGAGTTATAGTAGATATAGCTGTACCTACCCTAATGTTATTTTTGTTTTGTTCTACTTTTTATTTTTGTAGGGTGGGTTTTGTGTTTTTTTTAAATATTACTTTTAAATGGGTTTTGGGGGCTCTCTCTCTACACATCAGTGTCATTGATTATACCAAATATACCTTGTTGATAATTATTTCGAAAACAAAGTTATCTGATTAATGGTCAATAGTTTTGGGCAAATAATCTGTATCTCAATGAATGTCAGAGGGATTAACTCTCCTATTAAACGAAAGAAGGTACTAACATATCTGAAGAAACAACATGCAGATATTGCTCTAATTCAGGAGACCCATCTCACTGACACAGAGCACCTGAAGCTGCGCAGGGACTGGGTCGGGCATGTCTTTTATTCCTCATTTACATCAAAAGCAAGGGGGGTAGCTCTGCTCATAAATAAAAACTTAAAATTTCAGTTAAATTTAACAGACAAGGATACATCCGGTAGATACGTATTAATTGATTGTGTTATAAATACAAACAGATTAACATTGGTGTCTGTTTATGGCCCTAATATAGACGATCCAAGTTTTTTTAACAACTTTGTTATGAGACTAGCAGAAACAGAGGGCAAATGTATAGTGGGGGGTGACTTTAATCTTGTTTTGAACCCTGCTTTAGACCGATCGTCACCCACAACAACCATCCATCCATCCATCCATTTTCTACCCTTTAATCCATTTCTGGGTCAGGGGGGTGGCAGTCAGAGATGCCACCCAAGTCTCATAGCACCAGCCCCTCACTGACCATCTGCAGGTGGTGAGTCCACAGGAGGACGGCTGCTCTCTGAGTTTGTTTGCTTTTGTCTTCCTCTTGACCTATTTGACTGCCCCACTGCTACCATTGAACATGTTGCAATGGCACTCTTCGATTCGTGTGCCCTGCATTTGGCGCTTTGTGAACATTGTTTTTGAAAAGTGCTGTACAAATAAAGATTTATTATTATTTATTTTCTTTTCGTTTGAAGAGTTTTGTTTGGTTCTAAAAAGGAGGGCAGTGAGTTAGAATTGTATTTTTATCCAAACAAGATGACACACTCCTTCACTTGTTTTCTTCTAGTCTCCCACACACATTTCAGGGGGTCGCTCTGTCCCGCAGGTAGAATGACAAACTCCTTATTTCGCATCCACTGATCTCCATTATTTATTTGATCTACAATAACATGTTGCCATAACACAAGGACTCCCAAAGCAGTCATTTCGACGGCTCCCATTAAAATCAATAGAATTCTTAAATGTTATACTTTTATTAAAATAAAGCAATCTATACAGTTGTTATGTTTGATATGTACTAAAAATGGTTACTATAACCTGAAATACAGATAAAACAGTTTTCTGAAACTAATGCTAACTGCTATTAATAAACAGTTTGACACTACAAGAACGGCACTTGCTCCAAGCTGACTTTTCACCAGGAGAAAAGTTGCTTTAAGGTTGGTTGCCAAGCGACTAAGCAACCAAAAATGGCTACAATAGAATTTTACATACAAATACAAGGAGCAGTCATAATGACTGCCCTGGGCGTTTAAGGTAGTACTCACATTTTCAAAAATTAAATTCATAAAAATAATAAACTACATATAGATACAGAAGAAGTCACACAATTATGAAGACCAACAAAGTACATGAGTGAAGGTGAAGATTATTCTTTGAGGAAATAATGAATTTTACCTGAGCATGCTGTATGAAAAATATAAGTTTGAAATAAATACATATACTTAAAATAAAGATTATATGAATAAATCACCTCTACTTCTTTTGAGAAAAATCCAGGGGCACATGCACATACATCATGACAATATAGAAAAAGAAAGTGAAGTGTTTTGCTTTCCTGGTGCCACTTCCAGTTTTCTCTGATTGGTTATTTTGCTGTCCAATCAAATGTGAGCAAACCCAGGTCCGGGGCTGAGATCCAGACTTCATTAATACATAATTAATAATAATGATTGTAAAATGGTGTGATTCGAGCTGGTCAGGCGGTGTTTCCTCCTGGTTTGTTGGAGAGGTTGGCTGTAGCTCAGTGTTGTGTAAAGCTGTGACTGGGGCAGGCAGCTGTCTATGCTGCTGTTCATTCATCTGCTCCGTCTCTTCTGACTCCAACAGCCTCTTGGAAGATGTCCCAGAATCCTCCATCTTTACACTCATATGTGATTATTCCTTTTCCCATTTTTCTCCAGTTCCTGTTTGATACATTTTATTTCATCGAAGGACAGGGCCACCTCTGGACATATCAGGCTTGCCAATTAGTTTTCTACTGCCACTATTGCCATTATTGCTGCCCCTACTTAAATGTTTCAGATAATCGAACCTGGAACAACTATTTTTATTAACTGCAATCAAAACAGACGTGTCAAATAAAGAAATTAAATGAAATTCAGAACATTTCAATTGACATTTAACATAATATGAAACGTTACAAATTGTATTTAATTCAAATTTGTTTTGTTTCAATGTATTTATGTATAGCCCGAAATCATTACAGCAGTTGTTTCAGAGGACTTTTCAAAGTTAGCGAGTCCTCAACAACAGAACAGAGAATCAAACAGTTCAAACACACAAAATGCTTCTTTCTCCGCAGAGGGCGGCACAGTGGCAGAGTGGTTGGGACTCTTGCGTCTCTGCATCAAGGTCTTGGTTAGAAATCTGGCATTGCGAATTTGGTCAGGATAGAAAACCCTTCACTAGAAACAATATAAAACACAAAGATAGCCAGAATAATCAGATTTGAACATGTGTATTGTTATTATAATGGCACACATGTTTTCTATATGCATTGTATTGTTGTATTCTCGGCGGCACGGTGTATTGGGGCGGTATTGTTGTATTGGGGCGGCACGGTGGCTGAGTGGATAGCACTCCCGCCTCTCAGCAAGAAGGTCCTGGGTTCGAATCCCGGTCGGACCAGGGCCTTTCTGAGTGGAGTTTGCATGTTCTCCCCGTGTCTGCGTAGGTTTCCTCCGGGTACTCCGGTTTCCCCTACCACTAAAAATATGTCCAATAGTTCTGGCATGCGCCTCCTGTACTGGCGACCCCGCTCCCATCTCTGTGTGGAGTGAGACAAGTGCCCAAAAATTAACAATTGTAAACCGCTTTGAGACTCAGATCTGCAGTGAAAAGGCGGTATATAAATAAAAACTTACTTACTTACTATTGGCGCTAACCCAAAAGCGACTTCTTCTCTCCGCAGCTGGAATTCACCTTCAAACACTGTCAGGTGGAAGTGCTCCTGCCATGCTCGCTATATTTAGTCCGCCTGCCAAGTGCCAAACTACATTTACTCTTTACGCTTTCCTCTGCCGTCTAAATCTTGTGCAAAGATATTTTCTGAAGCGCACATGTCATTTTGTTACTTTGTGATTTTCTGCTCTTCAGCTGCCGAGTGCCTCCGCGCATCTCTGCTTCAGTGTCAGTTCAAATTAGGAAGACGCCACACAAACATACAACATAAGTTTGCTTTGTGGTTACGTGTCAAGAATGTCTCTCAAAAAAGTATGATTACAAAGTTTCTCCAACATCACTTGTCAGGGTTATATTCGTACCTTAGCCAAGTAGGGTATGTTTGGTCTGTTTGTATCATCGAGAAGTGAGTTACAGCAACAGGTGTAGGGATCGGAACAGGGATGAACACATGTGGTCTTTATGTCTTTTTGATACCAAGCAGGCAAACATGTTTCAGAATGGCCAGAATAATGGTACAGAAACTGATTTGCTTCAATGGGTTTCGAAATATGGTCAGATAAAACCATGTGCAGATTCTGTCCACAAGAACTGAGTGGATGGACTTGGAACTGCAGTGTCATTTTTTAATTAAGTAACTCTCTGGTCAGTGATAACTGTTAATGGGCCTGTAGATGTCTGTGGTTCATTTAACAAAGTGCAAGAGTGATGATCTCACAGAGTTTAGTGAATTCTGTATATTTTTTGGCACACTACCTCAGACCTGTTTCCAGCAGTTCAACAAACTATTATCATACTCCGGATAGTAGGGGTGGGTGGTAAAAAAAAAAGAGCGTTATTAATAAGCTAGTGTCAATGACTGGAGAGAATTAATTTCACTTCCTGATGAGATAAGATGTACTTTATTAATCTCACACAGGAGAAATTTACATGTCATGATTTATATGATACAGACCGTGCCATTGGTTGAACTATTCTCCAGAAAATCTGATTGATGTTCACGGCAAGGAGAGAGATGGTATTTGACAGTGTTTTTGAGAAATATTCACCTTACATTAAACTACATGGTCGTGTGGTCTAAAGCATGCCTTCTTTTGAAAAATGATATACAGTTGAAGTTATTGACATCGACTTTAAAAAACTGGCACCATGAGGGAGTTCTTGGATGCAGCCACCAATGGCGGACGTGTCTCTGTGAGCTCCGTTATACCCAAGCGGATTTGACCTTGCAATACACCTTTTTTTTTGCTCCTGTATGGCACCAGTCTCGTGTGAGCTCACATATGAAACCGTCTGGGTCATCTGACTGCACTCCGGTAATTAAGCAACGTCTCCTGGCGAACAAATTTAACTCCGTGTTAAACGTGCTAACTAACGCTAGCCAACCACAAGCTAGCCGCAAGATGGCAGGGGAACAAGAAAAGCCAACTCTGAAGTCGGCCATGAAGGCTATACGTGACTCACACAATGAGCTCTCAGCTAAGATTGACAGGAATCGAACTGACCTACAACAATCCCTGGCGAAAATTGAACAAGCTCAAACCACGCTTTTTGAGCAAGTGCAGGAAATGGAGACCCGCGTT